TGTTGAGTAGGTTTTCTAGTTCCTGTTGTCTGTATTAATTTGTCTTTTTAGCGATTGTGATGTACCTGATGTTTGTACTATTGTGTGATATCTATTTTGACTTAGTAGTTGATTATTATTCTGTTGTTATATGACTTAAATATTCCAGTGTTCTGAGTAAATTTTATTCATGTTTGCTTAAGGTATTTATTTTTCGACTTGTGCTTAAAAGTTTAAAAAGATCCTCTAAGGATATGTGGTATATTCAAAGTTGTACGTCAAAGCCTTGCTTGATGACAACAACCTGTATGAAAGAGGTTAAAGGAATCTATAAGAGATGTAATACCTATCCGAGGTTGTGTGTCAGAGCCCTGCTCGATGGCGTTAACCTGTGTGGAAGAGGTCGGGAGAACCCACCAAGGATGTAAGACCTATCTGAGGTTGTGTGTCAGAGCCCTGCTCGATGACGTTAACCTGTGTGGAAGAAGTCGAGAGAATCCACCAAGGATGTAAGACCTATCCGAGGTTGTGTGTCAGAGCCCTGCTCGATAACGTTAACCTGTGTGGAAGAGGTCAGGAGAATCCACCAAGGATTGATCAACTAACAATTGAACAATAATCGTCTACTGCTCGAATCAAACATATTAAGGTTCATAACTTAACAAAGTCTTTACTTCCATTAAAGGAAGAACATAGCTCCCAAAGACAGTTCAAGGGAGAAGGAAACTAGAAACATCACAAACAACGTTCGAAATTAATGACACATACAATAAACACATAATACGAAAGACATACGATATTCTAAAACAAACGACACGATCACGCTCTACTGATAGTATTTGCGGAGGTTATCGATATTCCAAGTTCGAGAAAGCATCTTCCCTTCAGCATCCTTTAATTTGAAAGTCTCTGGCTTCACCATAACTGCTACTAGGTATGGACCTTCCCAGAGGGGGGAGAGTTTATTTCGTTGAGGGCCTTTGCCTGCCGCCTCAATGCTGCGTAGGACCAAATCTCCTACTGATATATGACGCGGCTTCAACCTTCTGTTATAGTGACGGGCAACTCTCTGGTGGTAGGCAGCAACCTTAAGTATTATCCCATCTCTTACTTCTGGAAGGAGGTCTAGGTTGTGTCTGAGTTTTTCGTCGTTGGCATTGGAGTCGAAAGTTTGTACTCTATGACTGGGGACTCCAATGTCGACTGGAATGACAGCCTCTGTACCAAAGCAGAGGTTATACGGCGTCTCTCCTGTTGGAGTCCTTGCTGTCGTACGATAGGCCCAAAGCATTGCCCCCTAGCCTTCTCCAGATGCGTCTTCAATCCTCTCAGAATGGTCTGGTTAGTGACCTCTGTTTGCCCATTAGTCTGAGGATGAGCCACAGCCGTATGTACTAGATGGATGTGGAGATCTTTACAAAATGTGGTAAAGACCCTTCCGGTGAACTGTGTTCCGTTATCAGTAATAACTTTTGCAGGAATGCCAAAGCGACATATTATGCTCTTCCACAGGAACTGTTTGGCATTTGCTTCAGTGATCTTTGCTAGTGGTTCTGCTTCTACCCACTTCGTGAAATAATCGACAGCCAATATGATGAATTTTCGCTGTCCCGTGGCCATAGGAAATGGTCCCATTATGTCGATCCCCCATTGGGCAAAAGGCCAGGGACTCTGTAATGTCGATATCTCAATGGCGGGGAGATGAGTGAGGTT